TGTAAGGAACAGGAAACAGTCAATGGCTTGCCTCTTGAGAGTGCCTTCTCTGAACCAGTTAGAAATTGTTTTTAAAAGAAAAAAAAGGTACTCAGGGTTATTTTTCAGGAACACTGCTGCAGTCTAGGAATGCATTTGACTTTCCAAGATAATACAATATTATTTTAGCGGTATTCTTTTGGCGTGACATATTTTGAAAACATTTGTGATCTATCTATATTGTTTTCAGCTGCTATTTTTCATTTTCTCTCTATATTTACGTAATTTAAAAAACTGAAATGTTACAGAGGGACACATGTTCTCACCTTCCTTGTGAAATAGGACAGCTAAATGAAGAAAATGGTATGCACTGATAAAATGGTGGTGTCATTTACATTTGCATTTCCCTTTCTCCATATACTTACTTTTCTTGATTTGTTTCCTGTAAGAGATTAAGTAGGTGCTATCACGTTTCTTTTTAACCAATTAATTAGTAGTCAGGATGAATTGATAGGCTTTTTATTACTTTTTTTTATCCAAGGCATTTAATTACCTTTCGGCGCTAAAACGTTATAAGGGCAGCTGTACTATTGACATTGCTTCTCATGTCTGTAATATCAAATTCAGTGTGACTTTAATACTGTATTGTGAACTTTAACCTTCAGAGAAATGTTGGTATGCCAATTTGATGGCTTTCCATGACTTTATGCTCTTTCCATAATTTTGCAGACTCTAGATACTTGTTAGATTTCTCTATATGAATTTCAGAAAACTTGATTATCTATATGATAGACAAAAAGATCCCAGTAACCTTACCTTTCACTAAAAATGAATTCATGTCTAATGCAGAATTTCAGTCAAATTTGTCTGAGGAACGTTTCCAAAGCTGCTGTGTTGTTCAAGTGATGAACAGATATTGTGTGCACCAGTTATATCCACATATATTTGGTTCATTCACCAAACATTGGGCACAGCCCCAAATTATTAATTGCCATTGAAACTTTGCTAAAATCAAAGTAAGTTTGGGTGTTTTTCCTCAGGTGAAATACTCTAGCAAACTTTTTCAGGAATTTAGGCACATAGGAAGCTGCCTTATATGGAGTCAACCACTAGTCCTTCTAGGTCAATATTGTCCACGCTACCTGGCAGTAATTATCTAGGGTTTCAGACAGGGGACAATCCCAACCCTTTGTGAAGGTGCTAGGGATTAAACCTGGAACCTTTTGGATGCAAAGCAGATTTTCTGCTAGAACTTCTCTAATTAAGCTGCACACCTTTCTGCTGTTGCTGCTAGATTTTTATTGAAGCAGAAGCATAATTATATTATAAGCTCCAACTTCAGATGAACTAAGGAATTCTGAATGACAGAACAACAACTACTTTGGTCAGTAGATCCAAAATTCTCAGGATGGTGTTTGTGCATTCCTGACTAAAAGAAGATCAAGGATGTCTTTAACTGTCGTAGTGGAATAATTGGACTTACAAGTGATTAACCTTGAACTGGATCATGCCTTATAATAGAAGAGCTGAAATATTCTTTATCATCTTGATTCTTGGCTAGATGGACAAATATTCTGAGTAGTAATCTTGCTTTGTTCTGTCCTCCCATGTTTTCATTTCTCACTTAGCATTAGCCCCTCTTGGTAGATACATAAATTTCACTCTCATTAGCGGGTGCATTATGTTGTGGGCAGGGAAACGTACCTCCACCACATGGGTATTTTTGTTTCTCACTGGCAAAAGATGGTGGGAAGCATTCGCTTACTGGCAGAACATATGTTTTGAATGATTTCTCAGGTGCAATCCTCTCCTTTGCCAAGTAGGGCTTAGAATGGACATGGAGGTCAATGGCTCTGCTGTCAGAGGCTTCATGTCTCTGAATACCAATTTCTGGGAATCGCAAATGGGCAGAATGCTTCTGCTCTCACGTCCAGCATGCAGGCTTATCACAAACATCTGGGCAGCCACCTTGGCAACAGGATGTTGGGCTAGATAGACCATTAGCCTGAGCCAACAGGCTTGTCTTATATTCTTATGCTCTTAAAAGACCCCATCTGAAACCTTGGAAAGCCATTGCTAGCGTGGATACAATCCTGAGCTGATATGAGGCAGCTTCCTGGGTTCCAAAGATCACCAGCAAGCTGCTCTTGCTTCCCTCTTATTATACAAAGTGATTTGGTGTGTTATTCAGTTTAAAGGGCTCAATGATGCAAGCGATTCACAAGCACCACTGGAATGCTGGAAATACTTTTGCTGTCTTTGTTACATCAGCCTCTGCAAAGAACACTTGTAGCATAGGCTTTATACATTGAAGTATAATCTTAAACCTCAAAACAATAGGGGGAAATCCACTGCAGCATAATTCCAAATGAAGTGATAGTGAATTATTATTTGGCTATTGTGATTCACTTTCTTATCTGAAAGATGTCTCATGGGTCTGATTTCATTCTCTGAGCTTATATATATATTCTTTGTTGTCCACCTGCTGCTTTTCTCTAGATATTTAGTTTCAGACAAACAAATACAAAATAGAGTGGAAATGGTAATAGCACTTCCCAGATTTATAAATCAAATGTGAGCATTTATTTCATGCAATGAACTCCCAAGTTCCTACCTAAATATTCAGTGAAATGTGTCAAATGGAAGGTGTACTGTGGATTTCTTTTTCAGTGCTTTTGCTCTGTACCCTGAAAGTTCAAGGCAGAGTTGCTACATTTGAAGGACCTGAAATGTACACAATAACAGCACTGGCAGCAACACTGTCTGTAGGACATGAGAAACACACCTGTCAAGTAAACACATGGAACACAAACCAGTCTCAGTACGTATGGAGATCAGATGTGTTCCTTAAACAACTTATCATAGTGGTTTAGGGAAGCTTTTAATGTTTGATGCATTACTGTATTTTAATATTTTGTTGGAAGCCACCCAGAGTGGCTGGGGAAGCCTAGCCAGATGGGCAGGGTATAAATAATAAATTATTATTATTATTATTATTATTATTATTATTATTATTATTTTGTATTGGTATTATTATTATCTCTCCTGTGTTAGCATAGTAGCAAAGGAAGAATTTGTTTCTTCTCACATTTTTCCTTCTATGATCTAGAGAATTCAAAATCCAGCACTGGCAGACGTTCTGATGGTATTTGCAATGCTTTGCGCGACCAGGCGCAACAGCCCCAGCCCCCAGGGATCATAAGAAAGGAATAAGGACTCTCACAACGTTATGGATTTAAAATTAGGCCACAACTTTATTAAACTTCCAAATGTAGGAAGACCTTGGCTTAGGCCTTGGGCGTCTATCCCTCCCAACTCCCCAGCCGGGGGAAACCGGCGCTCATCAGGGTCATTGGGATATGGGGGTGCTCTGCAAGACGTAAGAGTAGCAGGCAGCCAAGCCCATGTCCCTGCACACAGGGTAGTTCACTGACGACCATTCAGTGTACGGGCAGTGACACCCATATATGTAAAACCCCTTTAAGAGAGGGACCGTGGAATCGCTGCCACAGGGGCGTGAGTCACAAGTTCATGCCTCCCCCCCCCCCATATAGGGAAGAAAAGACTAAAGGATTGCACCCAAGGCCATAATCGCCAAAGTTGTGACGAATTGCTATGGGGAAGACAAAACCTGCCAATGCAGAAAAATTTCTTCCCGGTCCTTCAACAGCGACCGGTCAAAGACCGTAGCAGCACCCGCTAAACAGGAAGAAAAAGTTGACTTGCAAACAAGAAAACATTAAACAAAGGGAGGGTAGGGAGGCTGAATCTCCAGAGCTGAATGCCTGGCTATTGTTGGCTCCACCCCCTATTTATAAATGGGGCTGGCCCCACCTCCCAGCAAGAAGCCTAATTACTGAGGCTGGGCATGAGCCTCTTAATAATAACACTGAGAGGCAAGCCAGCCTCCCCACTTACCACTAAGCTCCCTGGGAACTGTAGCAACACGCATGATCCCTCAGAGGGCACCCACATTATTAAGTGTAAGTGCTCATTAACCAGAGGAGTATGATGACCAAATGCTTCTAATCCCCCCTGATCTAAGCATACAGGGAAGGGAGGCTAGAGATGCAGGGCTCCCCCAGTTCAGCTGTAACCCCATCACCATGAGTGAGGAAAAACTGAGGCCAACTGTAGATCATGATGAACTATATTTATGGAAATTTATTTCCCTGCCTCTGTGCACCTATTGTCCAAATCCTGTGAGATTAGCTAGAGATAAATCAGAAGCATTGTTGGAGAATGAGCAATATTCTAACCAATGAGTTGCTTCTCTAGAATGAAGAGGGGGTGTTTGTGCAGAAAATGTAGCACTTGTTTGAGAGGGAGAAATGAGATATAAACTCTCAAGAATGACTACTCACAGACTTGTGCAAAGACAAGAGGGAGGGACAAACATAATAAATCAGGGACATTGATCCAAGGAACAATAAGACCCATTGCTATTGCTGTTGGTTAAGATTTACATGCTCTTCTTGAAGTGAGTACATGTCCAGTTTACACATAGAGAGAGGCACAGCAAGAATAGTTAAGCCAGATGAGGTTAAGTGGATATTCAAGGGGAGGGAAAGACTTTGCAGTGGTACTTCATGAATGTGCAATGAACAAGGCCAGAAAAAAAGCTTTAAAGTGAATGTGTTTGTTTATATGTTTTCAGCTGCATTGATCACTAGCAACAACAGGATAACAGCTTTATTTGGATCAACCAAATAGTTACCAAGTAATCAGCAAGCTTTATAGAGGTTTTATTTCAATAAGGATGTTATGTTATGTTTGTTTGTTTGTTTTAAAAAATAGTAAATAATATTTGAGGGCATAGTAGAAAAGTCCCGGTGTGAATACAGCTTAATTTCAAAATGCAATTTCAGAATTAAAATAGTGTAGAGAATTATTTCATGACTCATGAGATTGCAGTTATAGAATGGGATCCTGGTGCTGGGGAATGTACCCCAAGTTGTAAGTGTGCTGAGCAACCCCACCCCCTGAACAAATGATGCACAGGTCTTTATTTCTCTGCCTGATTATGCAGCTCTCAGATCTGATGCTAAAATTCTAAACCCAGGTATTAAGGAATAATAGTGAAAAGCCCCACAGCTGAGTGGAGACAGGCTACAGCACGAGGATGCTTCAGGGGCTACAGCCAGCAGTCATCAGATTAGGTCATCATGTTCATCAGTGAGGAAATGAGATGAGGAAGTGAGATGAGAACTATTTTCATGAACAACAGACATAGGGAAGGCCAGCTAAATCTCACTGCTTCTGTTTACCTTTTGTTGTTGTTTAGTCATTTAGTCGTGTCTGACTCTTCGTGACCCCATGGACCAAAGCACGCCAGGCACTCCTGTCTTCCACTGCCTCCCGGAGTTTCGCCAAATTAATGTTGGTAGTTTCGAGAACACTGTCCAACCATCTTGTCCTCTGTCATCCTCTTCTCCTTGTGCCCTGCATCTTTCCCAACATCAGGGTCTTTTCCAGGGAGTCTTCTCTTCTCATGAGGTGGTCAAAGTATTGGAGCCTCAGCTTCAGGATCTGTCCTTCCAGTGAGTACTCAGGGCTAATTTCCTTAAGAATGGATGCATTTGATCTTCTTGCAGTCCATGGGACTCTCAAGAGTCTCCTCCAGCACCATAATTCAAAAGCATCAATTCTTTGGCGATCAGCCTTCTTTATGGTCCAGCTCTCACTTCCATACATCACTACTGGGAAAACCATAGATTTAACTATACGGACCACCTTTGTCAGCAAGGTGATGTCTCTGTTCCTTAAGATGCTATCTAGGTTTGTCTTTGCTTTTCTCCCAAGAAGCAGGCGTCTTTTAATTTCATGACTGCTGTCACCATCTGCAGTGATCACGGAGCCCAAGAAAGTAAAATCTCTCACTGCCTCCATTTCTTCCCCTTCTATTTGCCAGGAGGTGATGGGACCAGTGGCCATGATCTTAGTTTTTTTGATGTTGAGCTTCAGACCATATTTTGCGCTCTCCTCTTTCACCCTCATTAAAAGGTTCTTTAATTCTTCCTCACTTTCTGCCATCAAGGTTGAGTCATCTGCAAATCTGAGGTTGTTGATATTTCTTCCGGCAATCTTAATTCCGGCTTGGGATTCATCCAGCTCAGCCTTTTGCATGATGAATTCTGCATATAAGTTAAATAAGCAGGGAGACAATATACAGCCTTGCCATACTCCTTTCCCAATTTTGAACCAATCAGTTGTTCCATATTCAGTTCTAACTGTAGCTTCTTGTCCCACATAGAGATTTCTCAGGAGACAGATGAGGTGATCAGGCACTCCCATTTGTTTAAAAACTTGCCATAGTTTGCTGTGGTCAACACAGTCAAAGGCTTTTGCATAGTCAATGAAGCAGAAGTAGATGTTTTTTTCTGGAACTCTCTAGCTTTCTCCATAATCCAGCACATATTTGCAATTTGGTCTCCGCTTCCTCTGCCCCTTCGAAATCCAGCTTGCACTTCTGGGAGTTCTTGGTCCACATACTGCCTAAGCCTGCCTTGTAGAATTTTAAGCATAACCTTGCTAGCATAACATTACATTCTCCCTAATATAGGCTGGCCACTCCCAGCAGCTGCCTATGTTGCTGCCTCTACATTTCCCAAGGAAAAGCATCACACTCTTGATGAAAGGCAGGGCCCAGAAAGGCTCCCACCCAGACTCAGAAGAAACAATGCCAGCCTCCTTCCGAGCTGTCACATAGCCCTGCATTCACAAACTTCCTCGTGAGTAAAGCAGCTCCAGAACGACACGTAAAGCCGCTTTCCAAAGGAATCAGTCAATATTAGAACTGTGCGCTGGACAAATATTAAACACTCCTTACACATTTCAAAATCTTTCGAAATGGGGAGAAAGTCATCTTCTTCCTTGCCTGGGGAGCAAGGGGCAACGTTTCCTTTGTTTTCAAGGAGGCAAACAAATACTGCAGTATATTGCTAGAATAATGATTTTCATTAACATGAGGAATTTTTCCATATGTAAGAAAGGCAAAAGCAAATGGCACTGCTGCAAGAAATTAAACTGGGGATTGAAGTGGGAGGAGGGGGGAAATATTTAAATCCCCTCCATGCCCCCTTGCCAAATAGCTTTTTTTGGTTAAGCAATCAAATTTTTGCTCACTCCTTTCATCTTAAATGCGGCTGTTATTACGGGATGATTGCTTGACATATCAAAAATGTGTGGAGTCAAATGAAACGATGCAAAGAACTAGGGGATATGGGTTTTAAATAAATAAATACATCATAGCTTTTACATGCAATGTTTACCTTCACTGAGATATATTAGGCCTTCTTAAGCATTTTCTATGTGAGCTAATGCTAAAAATCTAATCATTCCACCAAGAAAACCATGCTTACATGTGAAGAAGCAGCCCATAGCTTGGCTAAGGTGACCATATATCCTACATCACAGAAGATGCTCCTTTCCTTTGCAGGGATGTCAGGTGCTCCTCTGTTTGAAGGGGCTGTCAAGTTCAAGTCCATTTTGAAGACAAAGACCTATGAGAAGGGAGAGAAAGGGCCTTGAAGTTGCCTGTCAACAGCACCAGAGAGCCGATTGAGCTGGCATCTGGCATAATCTTTCTAGTATGGACCAATGCACACATTTTTGCAAGCATTTTATCCTGATTTGTACTGCAATTTTGAAAGTTATTTTCACTAATATGTTTGTTTTTATACACACTTTTGCCTAATATATGCATTTTTATAAACATTAGTGAGGAGAACCTTGAAAAATTTGGATTAGGGGAAAATTCAAAAGATGGCTGTGTTTTGATTCTCACATTGCTTCGGGAAGTGTGGATTTGAGAGGGTTCACCACAACACCCTTGCACATTCAGTCTATATGCTGTGCCTTGTACTATGATTTGGTGGTGATTTCAGATCAAAAACTTAGATTCACCATTAAAGAACCATAAAAGCTTTTATGCCTCTTTGCCTGGGCCTACCAGTTGGCAGTTGGGTGCATGCTGAGTCCTCTAGCTGCTGTGACACTTGGGAAAACCTAAAAGGAAGGGCAGAACATCTTATTTTCATGCAGAGGGTCCTAAATTCAATTCCCAGTATCTCCAGATGGAGCTCAATGTATACAGTGCTGAGCACAATGGACCAGTGCTCTGACTCAGTATAACAAGGAGACGAGTGGGTCTCTTAAAGCCAACATGGTGGATGTTCCAGGTATGGTCTTGGGAGGTGTAGCCGGCTTGGCAGTGGCCATGATTGCTGTTCCAGCAGCACTGGGAGCAGTGGGTTTAACTGGAGCTGGAATTGCAGCTGGCTCTCTGGCTGCAAAAATGATGTCAGCAGTGGCCAACACCAATGGTGGAGGAGTAGCAGCGACTTCAGTCAGTCGGTGTTGCTGGGCTGTCTGTTGCTATCAAAGCTGCAATGATAGCTAGTGGAGCACTGCTGTCTGCCATCTTCCATTAAGAAGAAGACACACATACACAGAGGCCATAGCTGCTTGGAAGATTATGCTTTGCCGTCAACCCCATGACACACTTGACTTACTTTAAGCAAAATGTGCTTTTAATCAATGCTACATTATTCCAACTGGCCAAAATGTGCAAAAACAAATAAAGCTTTGATAATTAAACAACAACAACCAAAAAAACAAAAAAAAACAGCTTTCTGTGATCTGACTAGTCCTGGAATCCATCCCTGCTTTGCATAGGAATGTAGAAGTCCTGCTTCTACTTATTTTATATTTCCTTTGCATTTTGAGACCTATTGGATAAAACATTTCACTCAGTCTGTACTTATCTATCCACATATGCGTCCATCTATACATATATACACACATACCAAGCAAGTTTCTAGACCACTTGATGCATTTTTTGGTCTTTCAGGTGGCCTAAGACTTTGTCATTTTAAAAGGTGATGCACTGCATGAATGTTCAGAGATATTCCCATCTTCTTCAAAGCAATCATAAATCAGGGAAACAGTTTCTCAGGATGCAAACGATGGCTCTATTTGGAATGCAGAAAAAGGACTTTAGAGAAAGTGCATTTTCTTCTTTTTATAGCTCCCCCCAGGTTTCAACTGCCTAGCACTCCTACATATGTTACCATATTTGTGAAGCCCATTGCTTCTGTCACTCTGAGGGGTGCTGGAAATAGAGCTGTCATGTCAAAATATCAAAACTCCAAAACACTGTCAATTATATAGAAGCACATTATTTTGAAAGAAGAGATGTTGATCTTGTTCTGTGGAGCTGCGATGCCTTGAAACGAGGGGCATCCCTTCAACAGGACGTCTAAAACATCAGCTTAGGTCCTCCATATTCTTCTGTAAAGTGGGAGTTGGTGGTGGCATTGCCCTCATTCTTCAGGAAGTTTCCCATGATCCACTTTGATAACTGTGTAAGAGACCATACAAAGAAAGGAAGAAACAATGAGATCTGAGACCCTGGTGGATATATAATATGGGGAAAAAATATTCTAGAGACTAACTTCTAGAGCATTTGTTGCCTGAGTTGAAAGGCAAGATGGTCCACTCCATTCAATATACAGGACTGGCAACTGAATCTTATTTCAAAACTGTCAGCAGAATGGAATCCTTCACTGCACTTGAGGGCAGCAATCTAGCCAAGGGGGCATAGGAGAGGCCATAGAGCACACACAGCTGAGGGGAATGACTGAGGGGAGGGGAGCTACATGGGAATGCAGAGGGCCTTGCATCCCCACACATTCTCAGCATCTGCTTCCCGAGGTGGCCAACACATTCTGCTCAATGGCCAGGCTGGATATCCCTGTTCACCTTCCTTTGTCCCTGGTTGGAGGTTTTGTTCTGCTAGCCTGGCATGAAGATACTAAGGCAGGGGGATGTGATTGACTCTTCTCCTTCTTATTCATCTTCCTGAAGTAGCATGAAAAGGGAAGACAGGATATTATGATAGCTCACCGCTCTAGTGAGTCCCAATTCACAGGTTTTATTTTTACACAGGATAGCAATTATGTGGTAAAAAAATGACTTAGGGTGGATCTACACACAGGAAAAACCCACTATAAATAAGTCAGAAATTAAGTCGTTATAACAGAAGAAAATAAACGCTATGTAAAATCGCAAAGAACCTTTTATGCTCTCCAGTATCATCTGGTGTTGCATGTTTATAACGCATTCAAAGCGCTGTTTTTGACTAATGTAACTGAGTGCTTAATGTAAAAAGTGAAACATTTCCTCAGCTCACATATATGAACTTCACCTATTTCTCTTCCTTTCCCAAAGATATTTGTGCTGCTGTTTTAGCACTTTTGTCATGCCCTAACCCTACACACTCCTACAAACCTGTCAGGGAACTGCCATCAGTGCCAGAGGGAGAGAGAGAGCTCCAGAGGGATCCCAGAGAGCGTCACGGGATTGGGAGAGGCAGCCCATCTTCTGGGGAAGGGAATCAGCTCAGCTCCAGTGGAGAAGGGGGGCAGATGGGGGAATCTGAGAGGGAGTCACATGACTCCTTGCCTGGGACCAGCGGGGGGAGGAAGGGTCCTCCGCTGCCTACGCCTTCCTTGCGCAGAAGACTTCCGCGCAGGGAAAGTAGGAGGAGACTCGGCGTGAAAGAACTTCTTTGCTGGAAGAAGTTTAAGAAACGCCCACTGATGGATTCTGCCAGCGATTGAGACAGCCACGGGTGAGTGGCTGTCCGGACAGAAAAGGTTCACTTAGGCAACCCAGCCAGGTGTGGGCACCGGCTTACGCACGAGCAACCCCTTGAACCACTACAAAACCCCACCCCCTTATGTCACTTATTGATGTTGCCATCAAGTTCATATACCTGTCCTCACATCAAATGTGAAGCCCTTCAAATGATCTGTGAGCAAATATTTAGACAGGATAAGTGTTAATACAACAGATTATACACTTCAGTATATGGTGCTTACTTTGTACTCGGGTATATGTGCCTTGTCTCTGGAAGTAGTGGTGCAGTCTGACCCACAACAGTGCTACAAAACTCCCTGCAAACCACTGGAAAAGGCTAAGCTTTGCACAGACAGAGAAATTTTAAATTGGGAGGAAGCTTTAAGCATATAATTCCAGCTACCTGAGGTGAGGAACCACAGATTAGTGGTAAAGCACATATTCTGCATGCAGAAGAGTCCAGTCTCAGTCTTTGGCATTTTCCAGTTGAAAGACCCAGATAGCAAATGATAGGAGAAATCCTGGAGCGGCAAAGTACACAATAGTGTGCTTGGCACACAGGTAGCCTGACCTGGTATGTGATAGCTTCCTGTACCTACGAGTCACAAGAGGACTATCTCACTTACCACATGTCCTAGCTATCATTTGAATTGGTTCCTAGTCCTCACAGCAAACATTTCTTAAATGTCAATCATTTTGTGGTCCCTCTGTGCTTTAATCCACAATGCCGATAGATTACCTTACAATTGTCATGGCCCTTTATTTTTATTTTTAAATCTATTACTTTTTAAATAAAAGGGAACTTTGTTCTGAGTAGGCATAGAATTTCTGCCACAGAGAACATTGTGAAGTCCTTCTTTAATTTCCCCTCAGTTAGCATGCATAATAAAAGCTGCAGTTGTTTCAAATGACCCTATGAGACACAAAAGATTGAAAATGTTCATGAAATGACAATTCAAACGGTGAGCGCCCAATAATTGTCTATGGTGGCGTGAAAAGAACTTAAAGCAGGTCCGTTGTCCGTGAAACATTTCACTCCATGTTGCTACAAAGACATGAAGGAAGCGGTGCTGAGGGGAGTGAGGAGGTACACGTACTTTCATTTCCAGTGAACATTATAAAAGATCTGACAATCTAGATAAGCTCCTTTTTGTAGATTGCATTCTCTCCACAGGGCATAGGAACTGCTGATAGCCATCATTTGCTCTAGTAAGCCTGTATCCTACATTTCCAATGCTCTTGTACATCTAATACCCTCTCTTATTTTCTCCCTTTCGGCTGAAACAATGCTACTATTTTGGTGCTGTCTGGAGAACAGTGCATATGTGCATTTGTGAAGAAATCTGCCTTGACAAAGTAGACAGTAAACAATTTGATTCTGTTAATCCTGATTAAAAAAAACAACAACCCTGATATGTGTTTGAGTGTGTCTTCCTTTCTTTTCTTAGAGGAGACCTATTTAAAAAACATCATTGAACAGATTAGAAGCTTGGTGGATACCAGAATGAATGTTCATCTATGCCTTTGCATGGCAAGGCCTCATGACCACCCTGTTCCCTAAGGTACAAGTAACTAGACAACACACGGCATATTGGTTCTGTGATCAAATAAAGGCCACAAATTTATTGGTTACAGATGTGAACATTTGGCCACAGACTCCCATCTGCTGGGAGTGTTTCTAAGGGTGAAGCTAGTGGGGGACGCACATCCTATGAGCTATGTCAAATCAGGGCATCTCCCAAGCCAGGCTTCCTCCACCTCAGCCCTCCAGATGGTTTGAGACTACAATTCCCAGCATCCATGACCACTGGTCCTGCTAGCTAGGGATCATGGGAGTTGTAGGCCAAAAACATCTGGAGGGCCGAGGTTGAGGAAGCCTGCCCCAAGCGGACCCTGTTAGAAGCATGGTATGGCCCTGGCCCCCATCTGGGCATTGGACAGGAGCCACTCCTCCTGGATCCCTGTAACAGGATACCCTGTTGGAGGGGCAGACGGAGGCTACAACCTCCCCTCCAACCAAGACTAGGTTTACCCAATTCCCATCTGCCTTTGTGACGATTGGTATGAGATAGGTGAAAACCCAAATGGCAGAGCCAATTTGCCAGATGGGAAAAATTCCTGCCCAGCCCCTGAACCTGGCAACCAACACTGTCCATAGCAAGGTCATACCATCTGCACAAAACCCTAATCTGAGAGAGGGTGGGTGGGAGAACCAGCAAGGTGAGCAAGAGGCCAAAAGGCCCTGCAGGCTGGGTATTTATCCTTGCCCTGGGTGCATTGCCCCCTAAATTCCTGCTGCCATTGGCCAATTCAGTGGCAGGAGGACCATCTGGCCTGCAATAAGCTGGTTCCCAGGGGAGGCCCGGTGCCCGCCTGCAAAGCCACCCACCTGAGAACAAACAGACTTAAAAAGAAAGACCATGGCTATATTTGCTTACCACTATAAGCCATGGTTTACTGTGATAGGGACAAGCCTAGACTTCCCCCAAGACTTTCATACTCAACCTGCCCCAACAGATGCAACTGTGAGCAAGAGTTTCAGAAACTTATGCTTCCATTTTCAGCAAACCACACCTTACTGTGTCATCTGAACCCAGTCAAACAGTTAGTCTCAACTGGCTTCTTTTCTATTCTTTTCTTTTTTTGCTTGAAGTAGAAAAATAGAAAAAAATTGAATCATAGAACGGAATAGAATATGAATAAAATAAAATAAAATAAAATACAACAGGTTCAGACTGTGATTTATGAAGCCTAGTTGATTGAACAAACTCATTAACAATCTCTAGAACATCTGAAAGTGGCTCATGCCAACTATATGCAGAAGTTGGGTTTTTGTTTTAGTTTTTTTAAAAAAAGACAACACTTTGCAACATGTCAAAAATGCTTTTTGTATCTGCTGTGGAAACACTCTGATTTGAAGTTGTTAAATGGTGGAGTGCCAGTGGAATTCTGAAGGTAGTCAGATGTT